TACGACTCAGCGGTGAGACTGGGACAAGTTGGAGAAGCTTTTGCAAAGTTCTTTCATTAAATAAAGCGATTCTGTTTTGCAACAGGTACTTGTGGCACATTCCACTAACCTATATTACCAGTAAATCTGACACTGTTCAGAGATTTCTGATGACAACTAAAGCAGGTAATTTCTTTGACTAATTAGGCAATTAATTTATTTGAAGTTTTTTTGCAGGCCTTTTAGTTTTGCAGGTTTTTTTCAGAATGGGGAGCTGGAACTACTGGTACCAGAGAAGCAAATTTTTGTCAGCTCAATAATATCACTGTAATGATCTCTTAATATAGTCAGAACCTGTGTTAGTGCATTCTTTAAATCACTGAAATGAGAGAATTATTTGATATAGTACTAGGATGTGTTTGAATCACTGAGAAAAAAGGGACTTACCTTTGTGTTTCCAGATGTCATTATCCTTCCAGAAGAGGTGGAGTGGGTTAAATTCAATGTGGACATGAATGGGTATTATATTGTGCACTACAAAGGTGATGGATGGGATCGCCTGATTAACCTTTTGAAAGAGAACCATACAGTGATTAGCAGCAATGACAGGGCAAGTCTCATTAACAACATATTCCAGCTCGTGAGGTAAGGCCACCTGTCCAAGTCTGAAAAAAATACGAAGTCTGTATTTATGAGTACATACCACTGAGGAAGGAAGTGTTGATGATGTATATAGTATGCATTAGATCTGTTAAACAGGCTGAGAGCATATTCTTTTCTTGCTTACAGCAGTGTAAACGCAGGATTTCTCTTGATTGCAGTGGATTTATCTAAGCCTATTTAGTGAAACATGTCATGTCATGTTCAATATACATGCTAGTGGAAGGATGCCAGTGTGCAGTGGTGGACTAGGATGATGTTTTTGCAGCTGGGAAGATACTGGTGCCATTTGTCAATTAAAAACAAGGCTGTTACGGTCATGAAGATGTGACATGATTATGATCATGATTCGTCTTAGTTCTGTGGATGGGTTAGAAAAGGCTGTGTCTTAGGCTGTGTGCTTTCCACACCGTTGTGCATAGCCTGGCACAGAGAAGTAAAGAACCGACAGAAGTAACTACTGGTTTGAGTGTACGGTGTTCAGGAAAGAAGGTACTGGGGAGACCCGGAAGGTAATTAAGATCATAGAAATTTGAGGTGACATCTCACAAGGCGATGTCAGCAGAGAGAGTAAAAATTTTTGTTTGGACAGCAGAAGAAAGGACTTTCTAGTTTGAAAAGAGGAGAGTGAAGAAAGATTGCTCAGCATGTTCAAGGAGTATAGAGAGGAGAGGGAGAAGGGCTCATTTTATGGTGGGTGACCAGAACATACTTGTATTTTGAGGCAGAAGTGTCAGGTGAATAAGGACAAGATGAGAGTGTGTGCAGGGAGCTGACATGGAAAGGATGCAGAAAAAAGGTTTTGCAGAAGGGTGAAAAAATTAACAGGGAGGGTGAGAAAAGAAGTCTTGCATTTTCTCTGCTTGGTTTTGGAAGAAACCATTGAGATGTATCCTGGCAGAGGTAGACAACAGTTTGCAAAGTCAGATGATATGAGTGAAGAATTGGTTTTGATTGTAGCTTTGAGGTTTACTGCAGGCTAAATACCTGCATGTTGAGATAGAAAGGTGTTGCTGAGGAAATGATCTCAGTCATTGGATTCCTTCTGTGCGTATGTGGTTTATAGAGCAAAAGCAGTAGTGGGGAGAGAGCAAGAGGGAGAGGCCATGCTGGGATAACCTTGGCATGTGAGAGATGAGGGGAAAAGTCAATCTTTGTAAATCATTCTCTTACAATCCATTTCTTAGTTCAAAGATTAAATATTAGGCTTCATAGCTCATGTAGCTGCTCAGACACATTTCACTTCAAAAAGCAAAGTTAAAAGTGATTTCAAAATAACTTTAATGCTTTCCTATTTGTATAGTTTTCTGAAAAACATTTGTCTTGGATTTTGCTTTTAAGTTTATCTTTTAAGTTAGTTATAACTTGTTTTATCGCATCTCTTGTAATTCCTTAGAATAAAAAAAAAGTCCATTTCCAAAGCTTTTGATTTGACTTTGTACCTGAAACATGAAAGACAAATCATGCCTGTACTCCAGGGTATGAATGAGCTGATTCCTATATACAGGCTCGTGGAGAGGAGGGATATGGATGGAACAGAAAAACAGTTAAAGGTAACATTTTCAGTATCTAGAAATTTCTAACTCTGCCTGTACCCTGCCAAATGCACTTTAAAATATATTTTTACTGTTACTTATTTTAGGAGTATATAGTCAATCTTTTTAAAGACCTGATTGACAAGCAGTCTTGGAGTGATGAAGGGTCAGTGTCTGAGAGACTGCTTAGGCAGTCGCTCCTGCTGTTTGCGTGCGTGCACAGGTACCAGCCATGTGTGGACAAAGCCAGAGATTATTTTACAGAATGGCAGAAATCCAATGGAACCTTGAGGTTTGTTCTGTAACTATTGCTGGTTTTTTTCTGATACTCTGTTTAATTGCCCTAGAGATAATTGACAAAAAGAGCTAAACTTCAGTCCTTTCCGCACTCTGAAGTGGAGCCTTCTTAGTTTTGTAACTTACGCTTTAGTTTCCCCACACCTTCACAGTTTGGTGCATAATATGTGCCCAAATTAGCACATACATCATGTAGTACTCCACAGCTTGGGTTGTTAAAGATGTTCTGAAAAGTGAAAATAACATATGTTCCCTCATTTATGTGTCTGAAGATTAACCTATACCCGTTGTAATAACAGATAACTACTGTTTGTGAGCTTCACCTTATGTTTTGTTTCTTGTCACGACATAAGAACTCCCTAAAACACCCTCCAAAACGTCTCTGAGAGATTGTTCTGGGCAGGCCAAAGACCGTATCAGTATCTGACTGAGCACAGCTGGGGAGGGGTCTGGAGCACAAGTCTTCTGAGGAGCGGCTGAGGGAACTGGGGGTGTTCAGTCTGGAGAAGAGGAGGCTGAGGGGAGCCCTCATCACTCTCTGCAGCCACCTGAAAGGGGGTTGTGGTGAGGTGGTGCTTGGTCTCTTCTCACAAGTAACCAGCGATAGGACGAGAGGAAATGGCCTCAAGTTGCGCCAGGGGAGGTTTAGATTGGATATTAGGAAAAATTTCTTTACTGAGAGAGTGGTCAGGCATTGGCACAGGCTGCCCAGGGAGGTGGTGGAGTCACCATCGCTGGAAGTGTTCAAAAAACGTGTGGACGTGGCACTTGGGGACATGGTTTTGTGGGCGTGGTGATGTTGGGTTGATGGTTGGACTTGATGATCTTAAAGATCTTTTCCAACCTTAATGATTCTGTGATTCTGTGAAAGGAATATACAAAAATAAAGAAGAAAAAAAAAGAATGATGAGTCCAGAATTTCTGGAAGTAATTTCCAAGGGCAGGAACAATACTGAGATGCAGACTGAGATATTGAAGTGTTTCTTAGCCACAGGGATCACTTTCTAATACCCCTGAGGGACCAGTATTTTTTAATAAACTGTCTGCTATGCCATTTAATGTGTGATGGTGACATGGTCGTGTTTCTACATGTATTCCTAAATATGATGTGGAGAGTAACTCAGTATTCAATTTGTTGTAGCTTGCCAGCAGATGTGAAGACAGCAGTGTATGCTGTTGGAGCACAAACGTCCGAAGGTTGGGATTTCCTCCTTAGTAAGTACAGACTGCACTCGTTCAATGTAGAGAGAGAGAAGATTGAATTAGCTCTCAGCCTCAGCAGGAGTAAGGACAAACTTCAGTGGTAAGTAGTGACATGAGAACAGAAGTGTGTTTGGGGAAAATCTGCAAACATTGAAACAGGAATTCAGAGTCTTGTTTCATAGCTTTTGAATTTCGTGATGTATAAAATGCTTGACAGAGCTAATACAGTGGGAGGAAGTGGCTGCACACCTTTTCATTTCTGTGTTTTGGTGCCAGGAGTCAAGGTGCTCAGAAAATTTCCAATAGCAAATTGGGACAAAAGACAATAAAACAACTATTCAGATACCTTGTCCTTGTTTGACAGACACTTCTTTATTTACCTTTGTAGTTACTTTGATTATAGGTACATATGCTGTACATTTCTTATAAAAATCTGAGGTTTCCTGCTTTTAAGAGAGCTGAGCACCATGCAGGTTTTCAGGTGTTCTCTTCAAACCATGCATTCTGTGAACTTGATTTTTGCCATTTGATGAGAGTGACAGCATGGGACACTGATTTAACTGTGTTCAGATATCACTGTAGACACTGGAGCTGTTTCATTATGTAATTATTTATTCTTTGCATTGCAGTGCTACTTGGACACCTTAGTCACGAGCAGCACTTGCAGGTGTGAATTTTCCACTGACAGTGTAGAACAAAGACCTTTCCTACAGAGGGAGGAGTGAGGTTCCTATTAATTTGGAAATTCTGAGTAGGAGGCAAAACGTAGCCTCATTTTTATCCTTAATATTCTGAACACAGGTCTACCAAGTAACTGTAGTTGTGAAAGTAACAGAAATGGAAAAGATGTATGTGGCCGAGGAGTACTTCGTGAAAAGCTGGAAGTAACCCAGCAGAAATGATGTGTCAGGACCTTCAGAAGTGTGAACTCTCAACTGTAGTACCAAATACTAAGGGAATAGTAATTTGTCAGCTTTATGTACTGGGCTAAACAACTTCCATTTCTGTTATTAATTCTCAGGTTAATGGATCAAGGTCTGCGTGGTGACATCATAAGAACTCAGGATCTTCCACATATTATTGTATTTGTTGCCAAAAACCCATCTGGCTATCATCTAGCTTGGAATTTTTTAAAAGAAAATTGGGAGAAAGTTGTAGAAAAGTAAGGAACATAAGCTGTTTTACTGCTCCCTCTACCCAATTGTATTTTAAAACTCTACCTGCTATAAAAAAATAGACATTTTCTGAGTACCTGTGATTTCTTTTTGCCAGATTTGAACTCGGTTCGAATTCCATAGCAGGCATTGTCACTGGTGTGACAAGTCGGTACTCGACAAGGTCACAGCTTGCACAGGTAAGTCTTTCAGATCCTGGTTTTAAAAAATAGTTGTAGTATAACTGACATGAAAATCTGGGTTAAATCTTAGCATGGTAAAAGCATGGCCAGTTATGAAGCATCAGGGTAATAGCCTGCCTTTTCGTTGAAAAAGATTATAGTCGCGATGAGTTGGATTACTTAAGGGAGAGCACTGAGTCAATCGCAAGGAGGAAGATGTTCTTTGTTTAAGCAGTGAGCTTGGAGGCAGAGTAAGGCTCTTTGTCTGCCAAAGCGCTCATGGTTTACCTGCCTCTATTGATATTTCCTATGCACTCTGCAAAGTGGTGAGAAAAAGAGTAGGTCTTTTCACAGAGCAGACAGAAGAAAAATGCTGAAGCACCGTGAGAAATCATCTCACTGCTCTACATCTGCTGTTCCAGGGAGGATTCTCTGTGCTCCTGGATGTCATATCTGATAATAAGTTTGTCTACTTATTCCACAGTCTCTGCCTATGGTAAAAACCCACACTGGT